CCCCCGGCCTGGTGTTGGGGTGGGGGGCACGGCCTTGAGGACCTCCGGCCCAACACCAGGGCAGGGGGCGCACCTTGAGATCCCCCGTCAAGTCCCGCTGGGTGGGGGGCATGGCCTCAGTTCCCGTGGTCTGGCTCCAGGGCGGGGGGCATTGCCTAAAGTCCCCCGGCCTGGCACCAGGGCAGGGGGTGCAGCCTGAGTTTCTCCAGCCTGGTGACGGGGCTGGGGGAGCAGCCTGAGGTCCCCTGGCCCAGCACCGGGGCAGGGGTGTACCTTGAGGTCCCCTGTCAAGCCCTGCCAGGTGGGGGTGCAACATCAGGTTCCCAGCCTGGCGCTGGGGTGGGGGACACGGCCTCAGGTCCTCTGGCCCGGTTCCAGGGTGGGGGACTCGGCTTGAAGTCCCCCGGCCCAGCACCAGGGCAGAGGCCGCACTTTTAGGTCCCCTGTTAAGCCCCTCCAGGGCAGGGGCATGGCCTCAGTTCCTCCGGCCTGGCGCGGCCTGAGGTCCCCTGGCCTGGTACCAGGGTGGAAGGTGCAGCCTGAGGTTCCCTGTCAAGCCCCAATGTGGGGGGGGGCACTCGGCCTCAGGTCCCTGCTCATTGCTCCTTAAGGCTCAGTATGGGAACTCGGCCTCAGCTGTGGGTGCAGCCATCCTTGTGGTAGGGGGATGGTTAATTTGCAAGTTTCTCTCTTATTATATAGGATTTGGAATTCTTGGCAGAAACTAACAAAAACAAAGCTGACTTACCAACAAATATATAAACTAATCCAAGTAATGCCACTAAGGCTGTAATACCCAAGCCTGAAATCAGAAGAGAACCATGCACTGGGATGCACTCTGAAAAAACATATAAAATTTTATATTAGAAAATCACATGAAATAACTGAACTTCTTAAAAGAATCAATAACGGAAATAACATTAAGTTTTAGGAAGAGTAGTTATTTTTCTCATTTTCAAGAAACAAAAATTACTGCCCGGCCTGTGTAGCTCAGTGGTTGAGCATCAACCTATGAGCCAAGAAGTCATAGTTCAATTCCTGATCAGGGCAAAGCCTGGTTTGTGGGCTCGATCCCTAGTAGGTGGCATGCAAGAGGCAGCCAATCAGTGATTGTTTCTCATCATTTATATTTTTATCTTTTTCCCCCCTCCCTTTTTCTCTGAAATCAATAAGAATATATTTTTAAAAAGAAACAAATATTACCTACATTTGTATACCCATTATTAACTCAGTGCAATGATTCCAAATTCCTTTCCCTGTACGGAAAGAAGAGCCGTTGCTCGCATAGCATGTACCTTATCAAGTCTAGACTAAAGGGAAATAGTCTGTGAAGCCTAAACCTCCACCCAAATGGTTCTTTTAAAAGCTCATCCACGAATACAGGTGTGGCAGTTTGGCCACTAAACAATAAGCTAATGTGGAAAGCACTGACCTCAGTAGGGGAAAAATGAGTGAAAAAATGAAAAGCTCACAACACTAAATGCTGGCATGAATGTAGAGCAACAGAAATGTTCATTCATTGCTGGTGGGAATGCAAAATGGTGCAGCCACTTTGGAAGACAGTTTGGTAATTTGCTACAAAACTAGATATATTCTTAACATACAATCTAGGAATTGCACTCCTTAGTGTTTTCCCAAATGAAGTTGAAAAAGTATGTCCATACAAAACGTGCACTTCTATATTGTGTGTCTAGATTTGTGATTTTATAACAAATCAATACCTTTCCCTGTGGGGAAAGCAACCAAGTTGTCCCTCAATAGGTGAATGGATAAACAAACTATCATCCATTCACACAACCGAATATTATTCAGTGCTAAAAAGTAAATAAGTTATCAAGCCACCCAAAGACATGGAGGAACCTTAAATGCACACTACTAAGGGAAAGTAGCCAATTTGAAAAAGCTAGATACTGTATGATTTCAAGTATAAGACACTTTGAAAAATGCAAAACTATTGAGGCAGTGAAATGATCAGTGGTTGCCAGGGTTTCAGAATAGGGAGAATGAATAGACAGAGCACAGAGGGTTTTGGGGGCAGGTAAACTTTTCTATATGATATTCTACGACTATGGTCCATGTCATTATACATTTATCAAAGTCATAGACCATGCAACACCAAGACTGAACCCTTATACAAACGATGGACTTTGGGTGATAATGTTGGGCCAATGTTGGTTCAACAGACTGTAACAAATGTCCTACTTGGTGGGAGGTGTTGATAGAGGAGGAGGCTGTGAGTAGGTGGGGTAGAGGGGGATTCTGTATTTTCCACTCCATTTTGCTGTGAACATAAAATGCTCTAACAAATAAAGACTATGTATTTAAAACAGAATAAGAAAGACAACAAAAAGGAAAGAGAAAAAGAGCTCTAAGAGCAATTACTGGTAAAAGAGAAATTGTTTAGAGAAGATTGTGACCCTCACCTGAGACACAGAGCCTTAGTCCGACCACAGAGAGCACAAAGCCCAGCACCTGAAGGATCAATATGGTGATACTGAAGGAGGACATCCCAATAGCTGGAGCTGCAAGGAAAAAGCATGTTGCAAGTGTTTAAGAAGCAATCACTTCCACTTGTATTTCATACAGTCAAGGTCAGTATCCTAGGACCGAAGACTGACTCTGGAGCTCCGTGTCAGGTGGTGGCTGCTTTCCCAGTGACCTAAGCCATCTCTCTCACTCCAGCAGTCAGCTCCACATTCACACCCTCAGCAGCCTTTCATTTCTGCAGGGAGCTGAGCTGCATTGGCAGTTTTTACCCCAAATCTTAGAACAATGCTGCTTTTACCACACGTGGGTATTTCACCATAGGAGTGGCTATTAGCAGGGCCTCATCACGTGCACACAAAATCACTCTGGTGGAGAACCACTGTGCAAGCATGCCATTGTAGACATCATAACCCCTAATTGTGATTTTAGAACAAATTATACCATCTTAATATATAGCAACCCAGAGATAGGCTCTCATACCAAGAGTTAAATGTGCAAATGGAAAAAATAGATTCTTTAATATTAAAAATACTTAGTGATTTAACCCCAAAATGGAGTGAAAAATGTTACCAATTATAGGTTGGATAATCATAATGTATAACTTGTAAAACTCAATGTTAATATTTGCAATAACTCTTTATGATTTACAACCCTATTTTGTATAACTAGTTTTTTAAAGAGAGTTTTAGCAAAAGAATGAGAATGTTTAATATTTACTTATAACTTCAAAATCTGAAATAAGAATAGGAAGATCATCATTAAGAAATTATATAGTATGATTTTAAAAATCCATTGGCTGGCATTAAATATGTCTCTGAAAATCACTTTTTATAAAAGTTAATGTTAAAAACCTAATATAACATTAAAATTAATCCATTTTGGGGAAAATTTTCACTAAGAATATCTAGGGAGATAAACCAACCTTTATTGTATTATAAAAAAAATGCAAGAATTATTTCAATTAAAAATGCTGCTTTTTAAATCAAAAAGGGCACAATCATGCTAAAACAATAAGTACTTACCTATCATAAACATAGAGATCTGAAGTAATATTAATATTACTGTAGAAACTACAATTAAGCCAAGTCCACTGGTCCTCTTTTTTGAATATTCACCTATTGATAAATAAAATTAATATTTAAAATATTTTCCTACATACTTCCTACTCTGTGGAAAGATAAAGTACTTAATTTATTAAATGTATTCATCTCAATACTACTCTTATAAACAGCAAAATGTTTAAAAATAAATGCTTCCCCTAAAACCTCACACAAAATAAGTGACAATCTTTTTATTTAAGACCAAACTGAAGACATCTAAATGTCAACATCTAAGTCTCAACAAGTCAAAACCTTCAATTGGGTTTTCCTCCTTCTTAACTACCTTGGAGCCTCTTACCAATCCCTTCATTTGCTATATTCAATCTGTACTAAAGTCAAAATAGCTATTCTTTGTAGCTGTCTTCTTAATTCATCTCTTTCCTCACCACACCCTCACTAACTTCAGCTGCAAAGAGAGCTGCCAAATTTCTGTTCCTAAACATTACACCCATATTGTATTCTGTTAATAAAACGAAGGCTTTCTACATCTACACTTTGAGTCTCAGCCTATCCCTGCTGTTCTTTCCATGTGCTGCATACCCTTATTCCCGAATCCCATTCCCATCCTCCAAAGGCAAATGCAGTTTCAGATTGATTTGTTTCCCATGTTTATTCCCACTTCCATGTCTTGCCTGATGAAGTTTGCCTTTGCAGTGGGTTAAATGGTGGCTCCAAACATAAGCCTACCCCCTAATTCCCGGAAGCTGTGAATGTTAATTTATAGAGCCAAAGCGGACCATTACATTATATGAATTAGTTTAGGTTCTTGAAAGAAGGAACTTATCCTAGATTAATGAGGTGGGGCCTAAATTCAATGGTAAGTGTCTTTGGAAGAGAGATGCACAGGAGTTTTAAGAGTGGAAATTGGAGTTATGCTGCCACAAGCCAAGGAGTTGCAGGTTGCCAGCAAACACCAGAAAACGGAAGAAGCAAGGAATGGATTCTCCCCTAGAGTCCCACCCCCCACAATGTTCTCAACGTTATCAACCATGACTTCCCTCATAGTAACTGCACATCTTACCTGGGATGAAGAAAACGGCTCCAACAATGACTAATATACTGAGAACTAGTCCAGCCACAGATATAATGATGATTTTCTCCTTCATAATATTGGAATTATATTTAAGTACTTGAAAGAAAAAAAACACACAAAGAATTCCATGAACTCAATCTCAAGAAGTGAAGCCATTTCTGTAACTTAAAAAGTGCAGACACAAACTGATAACTTCCTATAATTGAAGAACCTTTGAGGAATAAGTCAGTTGTATCATGTGCAGCCACCTCAAATCTTTTTCATAAGTCCGTCAATGACTAAACAGTGTCACGGCCGTATAAATATGAATGCTGAATTTACGGGTGATGCTTTTATTATCTTACAATTTAAAGATGAAGTCATATACACCATGCTTTCTCAATTGGGGCATTATTAACATTAGGGCCAGATAAATCTTTATGGTGGAAGGGGGCTGCTCTGCACATTTAGAAGGTTTAGTAGCATCCCTGCCTCCCTCCAAACTGCATGCCAGTAACAGCCCCAGTTGTATCAATTGTGAAATGTCCCCTGAGGAGTAAAACTGCCTCAGCCTTACAGCTGATATAGATAATGCTGATGGGAAATAACTGGCTAATTGGTAATACTTAGAAAAAGAGAACTTTGTTCCACCTTACATAAAATGATAAACATCTGGAAATCTAGATATTTTATTTTGAAAAACTAGATTTAAATTGGACTAATCACACCCTCTTGATATCCTGAAGGGAATGCTTAAATTGTCCAATTAAAATCTCTCTATATAAAACCCTAATATGCAAATAGACCAAAGGGCAGAACAACCAAACAACCGAACAACCAAACAACTGGTCACTATGACGTGTGCTGAACACCAGGGGGCATGCGCGGAATGGTGGGGATTGGCAGCAGGTGGCAGAGCACAGAACATGTGGGGCATTAGCCGTGGCACGATGGTGGAGTAGGTGAGCGGGGATGCCAGACCAAGGTGGGGCACTGGTCGCTGTCATTGGGGCAAGCCTCTGATGGTTACTGAAAATTCTTTGCTCCCGCACCAGGTCCCGCCAGGTGCTTGCACCTGCTGTCCGCGCCAGAGCTGCCATTCATATTCGCTGCCAGCGCCTGATGCTAACCCCAATCGCTCAGTGCCATGAATGGGTGCAAATGGTGGCTGCAGGCCCCGATCGCTCCTCAGGGCTTCTCTGCCTCCCCCTGCTTTTGAGGGGCAATCGGGACTGGCAGCCACCACTAAGGGACTGCCAGAGCCGGCCCCACTCACACCTGCAGCCTGCACCAGAACCGCTACTCGCATCCACAGCCAGGTCCCAGCGCCATTCCTGATTGCTTGGCACTGGCATCGGGTATGAGTGGTGGCTGCTGCTCCAGTCGTCCGCTGAAGGCTCCTCCACCTCCCTCTGCTCCTGAGGGGTGATCAGGGCAGCAGCCACTGCTTGCACCCACTGACAGTGTGGAGTGATTGGGGCCAGCACCAGCAGTGGATGTGAGGGGGCCGGTGCTGTCAACCTGTGAGAGTGGCGGTGGTGGGAGCGGGGCTACCGGTAGACAAGGGACCAGGAAGGGCCAGGCAGGGGCACAGAAGATGTGCTGAGACCTGCCCCTGTGCCCACCACAGCCTAGCAGCCCACGGTTTCTTTCAAGATGCACAAATCTGTGCACTAGGCCCCTAGTAATTTTATAAAAATAAACTACAAATACTCAACAGGACTCATTAGCCCTATTTTCAAGTACCTGGTACCTTATGAAAAGAATAATCTAATGGATATGTCTAAAAATATTATTTCTTTTACTATATCTTCACCTTAGGGGTTTTGTTTTGATTAATTGTAAAATTAACTTTTTACCATAAAAGTTGTTCAAAGTAACCTAAAAACAGACTTAGTAGCAGAGAGAAACAGTGCATGACTGAAATTCTATTTTGTTTTATCCAGGCCACAAATTAGTATCTTGAGAGGGCAATTTAAAAAAATGTTATATTTAGCATTAAATTTGCTTCCAATAAAATGACAAACAGATTAAATACAGTAAGAACAAAAAAAATAGTCTCCTAAATGACCCTGCTAACATCTATTTTAAGGTATTATAACCAAGGGTTATATGATAACCTATGGCACCTGAAACACTACATATTCATACTTTAGATTGTAAACCTCCACTTTATTCTCATTAGGGGGGGTGGAGAGGTAATCAATCATCAATCCTGAAGCTGAGTAACTGAAATCCACATTAATCAGCAAAGAGTGAAAAACAATATGGCAAGTTCCCCAAGCTTTCATTTGATCAATCCAGGCTTGGAACTTACCCCTCAGTTGCATAAGTTGTGACCATGACTCAGTCATGTCCCTGACTTAGAATAGGGCACAGATTCCCTATTTTCTAGACTCAAACACTAGTGAGGATAAAATTCAGTGTATAGGTTACAAAAGGCATAGACATAGATAGAAAAATAAACTTTCCAGTGGTTCTCAACCTTCCTAATTCCGCGACCCTTTAATACAGTTCCTCATGTTGTAGTGACCCCCAACCATAAAATTATTTTTGTTGCTATTTCATAACTGTAATTTTGCTACTGTTATGAATCGTAATGTAAATATCTGATATGCAGGATGTATTTTCAGGGGTCACGACCCACAGGTTGAGAACAGCTGCCTAGACATATGTCCAAGTTTTCCATTCAATTCAATGTATATTGTTATCTAAATAGAGCTTGAAAGTTCTACAAAAGGGTTATGAAACAGAAGCTGTTTCAAATGCTCTTCACAATTAAACATTTAAAAGACACTCAGGCTTAATTGAATGCATAAAAGAACTACTAAGATCAAGCAGCAAGAATTCACCTTTAGAGTACAGTAGAAGTTCATGCAAAAAGGCTGACTTAATAAGAGTTTGATTCTCATATAAAATTCAACCTCTTCAGGCTTACCAACAGTAACAACAAATATAAAACACCATAAAATACTATGATTGACAGTGTTTTGCTATAAAACAACCTTTTCAAAACCTTTGCATATAAATATTGGAGGTAGTTTTAGTTTCTGTTGATGGGTTCATCTACTAAATATTTTCAAGGCTACTTCCAACTCTCATAAGTTAAGCAACTATTTCTAACAAATATATTAGTGAAATATACTTAAATAATCACAGGCAGTGAAAGAGGATCTATCTCCCTCCATGTTTTGTTTAGGGAATCATTTAAAATTAGTTTCTTTTGAGTCATTCCCTTTGCCACAGTGGCCACATTTTAGCACATCCCACAGAAAGTGGAGAGAAGGTATTTTGTAGTACAGTTGATTTTTCTTTCAGTGTAGAGAAAAGGGTTTGCAATCTGATATATATGCCATAGAACTCAGTAATCACAAGGAACCTTTTTTGGTGATCTTTATTTGTCCTTTAATAGGTATATTTATCCTTATTTGTCACATCTATAAAAATTTTAAATATAAACAAAGAAAATAAATTCAAGTAACTCCACAAACACTTGGCATTAAGATAAAGATAATTTAATGTGTTCTTTTTAAAAAATATATTTTATTGATTTTTTACAGAGAGGAAGGGAGAGGGATAGAGAGATAGAAACATCGATAAGAGAGAAACATCGATCAGCTGCCTCCTGCACACCCCCTACTGGGGATGTGCCCACAACCAAGGTACATATCCTTGACGGGAATCGAACCTGGGATCCTTGAGTACGCAGGCTGACACTCTATCCACTGAACCAAACCGGTAGGGCTTAATGTGTTCTTAATGGGCTCTTATCAAACTTCTTAGTATGATTTTCAGGCTTTTTGGCAAGACTATGTAATTTTAAAAATATGTATGCTTTAAAAGATTCCCCTCAACTAAAAGTATTGAAATCAATACACAAAATAAAATACGAGAAATAGCAGGATTTAAACATTTTAAATACTTTAAAGCACTGTTTTAGATTACAACAAAATTTAGAGGTAGGTAAAGACCACCCCCTTATACTCCCTGCCCCCACACATGCATAACTCCCCCCTTGTCAACATCAGCCACCAGAATGACGCAATTTTTACCAAGATGAACCTACATTGACATATCATAATTATCCAAAGCCCGTAGTTTGCCTTAGGGGTTGTACATTCTATGAGATTGGGCAAATGCAAAATTACATCTATCCATCATCATAGTATCATATAGAGTATTTTCACTGCCGTAAAAATCCTCTGTGCTCTGCCTATGCACTCTGCCTGCACCCACTTCCAGGAATGACTGATCTTTTAATTGTTTCCACCGTTTTGCCTTTTCCAGAATGTCTTGTAGTTGGAAACATACAGTATGTAGCCTTTTCAGATTGGCTTCTTTCACTTAGTAATATGCATTCAAGGTTTCTCCGTGTCCTTTCATAGCTCGATAGCTCATTTCTTTTTGTCTGGGTGTATCACAGTGCATGTTGCCACTCACCTACTGAAAACATCTTGGTTGCTTCCAAGTTTTGGCAATAATGTATATGCTGCTATGAATATCCATATGCTTAAGTTTTCAACTCATTTTGGATAAATACCAATGAGCACAATTGCTGGATCATCATATAAAAGATAATTTTGTAAGAAATTGCCAAACTGTTCTCCAGAGTGGTTGTACCATTTTGCTTTCCCACCAGCAATGGAAAAGGTTCCTGTTGCTGCACATGCTCACCAGCATGTGGTGTTGTCAGTGTTTACATTTTTTAAAATATATTTTATTGATTTTTTTACAGAGAGGAAGGGAGAGGGATAGAGAGCCAGAAACTTCAATGAGAGAGAAACATCGATCAGCTGCCTCCTACACACCCCCTACTGGGGATGTGCCCGCAACCAAGGTACATGCCCCTGACCGGAATCGAACCTGGGATCCTTCAGTCCGCAGGCCGACGCTCTATCCACTGAACCAAACCGGTTAGGGCAGTGTTTACATTTTTAAACAAAACTTATAACCTTAGTGCTACCTGACACAGGAAAACCAAAATCATTGGGAGACAATATTAGGTTGTTGTGAAAAAAATTAAAAATTCTAAAGTTTTCCTTTTTATACTATCTATAAAATAACTAAATCTAGCCAGCTACATCTCAGAATGAGCTAGGTTGCTTCCTTCATTTATT